TTTTTCTGGTTGGTGGGTTCGCAGTTGAATGTAATATAATTCAAGTATTTATTACAGCAACATTCAGTGCAGGAAAGAAAATTACCATTGGCCACCTCCTTGTTATTCTGGCAATTGAATAATTGGCTGACATTTCATCCCCCATATCCACTGCTCCTTTAGTCATATTATAAAAACATATACAGTCAAAAGTCGTTAATTTGGACACCCATAATCCGGAATGATCTATAATTCAGACCTCAAAGCTAAAATCTTTCTGTGCATGCGCCGTATTGACGCATGCGCACAAGACCTTTACGACTGCGCATATGCATCTGCATTTTACTGCATTAGAATACGTTTTCGCGTGCGCGTTTAATGTATAACGGACGGTATAAGCTAAAATTATCTAATTATCTATTTCAGTTAATGTTGATGATTGCGTTGTTCCTTAATCTTCGAATTGGATCCGGCTCATTATTTTTTGCAGACTGTAAGAGCAATTTTATAAAAGTAAGCTTGAACTTTCGATTATGTCAAATAGAATTTCTACATTCCTTACTAAATGTAGTATTTAATCTCGATGTACTCCCTCTTTGATATGATTTAAATCAAATACACCCCACGCGCTTTCCCGCGGGTTAAGGGGCCAAAGAGCCTGGTATGGCCTAATAAGCTGCAATTAGGCCATGCCTGATATATGATCTTTAGAAATAAATGCTCAAATAATCGCACATCTTAAAAATAATAATCTTTCTCGTATTTATTCACCACAGCATTTCTACATTGATTTACTATTTCTTACATCAATACAGTATAATGTTTAAAACAACTGACAAAAAATTTTGTCATACATAATATTTACATGTGAAGAACAGCATTCAATTCACATTACATTCATGAGTAACATTCTTATTATTGCACAATTACATACAAAAGATTTTATTAATAAAATTAGGGACCAAACAATCTTTTAAACAAAAAACTGAGATCCAAAACTTGAATCTTTGAGTTCTTTCACCATTTCAATTTTGAATCCTAATGTAAAAATCTACTGAACATTTAAACAAGAAATTTTGAAAACAACAGTTTTATTCACATAAAGTGGCAGAATTTTCATTTATGAAAAGAAAGGGATTGTTACAATTTCAATTTGCCTGAATCAAAAATGTCATCTTGTAATGGCTCTTGGAGAGATTTGAGACTTTATAGTCAGGGAAATATGTTAATTGTTCCAATAATTCCTCTTCGTCAAATGCTTTAGCAAATTTTTTCTTTTTAATTTAACTATTAAACATTTTTAGTCAAATTACACTAAGACAATAAACCTCAATTTCTTTTATTAAACTTAATTAGCAGTGTCTTAATAAATATAAAGCATTTTCAAAAACAGTATCCTTAAATTTGTCTTTCATTAAATGCAGAGTTCAATTTTTTTTTAAATTAAAAAGTCTCCCTTCATCCTTATTACTACTATTTTTAAATGAAGGAAAGGACTTGTGAAAATCAGGATTCAAAAGTCTTTACGATTCATATTCTAGAAATTTAAGCTATATAAAATGTATAACTTTTTTTTAAATTGTGATAATTTTTTTAAAAGAAGTTAAACTAGGAATCTCCAAACTCTTTAAGCAAGGGCCACATATTAATCTTCAAAATATCAGATGGACTGCATAGAAAATTACAAAATTATGATCTATCTGTTATATATTTCATGTAAAAAAAAGACATTATGTAGCCTTACAAACACATAATTTATTATTTAAATTGCATTTTAAAATGATGATACAGTGACATTAAACACTGAAAACAATATTGTACCACTGTTTGACATGTAACAAAAACAAAAGGAAAAACTATGAGATTTGTGATTTAAAATACTATTAATTTAATAAACATTGATTGTAAGTGATTAAGTCAATAACAAACATTTATTGCAAGTGTCCTACAGTTAAATTTGAAAGATACTTTGATTTCACATATTTCAGGTTTAAAAATGCTTTCTCACACGTGCATGTAATACTAAACTACAAAACTAACGGCTTGAGGAATTTTTGAAAAACTACCTCGAGGAAAATATTCATAAAACAGCAGCAAATTTTTTTTACTATAGTTACTTCTCAGAGCACTGAAGAACTGCATGAAATTATTTCTATCTGCATAGCACACAGTATCTTTCTAAATCTATGCTAAATGAATTTCCAAATAAATTTATGTGCTGCATGAGCATCATGAACAGCAAAAGTACCTTTGACTTCTCTTTAAATCTGATCATCAATGATATCAATAGCAAATTCTGCCAGTAATGGTTGTTTTGCTTCTTTACTGATTTCTTGCAGCACTGAAATTACTAAAAGAAACCTTTCTAATTTGAGTTAGAAACAAAACTTTTGCATCTGTGCTTTAAAATATGAGACTTTAAGTACAGCAGAGGTATTTTCCCCCTTATATTCTAAAACTAAAGACATTATAATGCTAAATTATAGTTGAAAAAAATGGCTAACTTTTAGAACCACTGAAGATCATACAGCAGAGAGAGAAGCTTCTTTTCATTTAAAAACTTATCTATTGTGTCCTTGATTTTCAAGAATCCTAACAAAGATTTCCCACCATGATGTGCCAGTTCAAATAATATCAAGAATAACATGACTGTTTGGCAAGGCCCTGACTTTGTTTTCTATCTCTTCGGAAAAACTAAAGAACTGACAGTGATTGAGTACTGGTTAGTAAAATCTGATGATAAATATGGATTTCATCACAGCTTTTAAGTTCATATATCTTATAGAGTGCAAGTTGGTAAATAAGAGTAATCAGCTGAATTACCGAATTTTCATACATCTTCATAACTTGCCCAACAAGCCAATTTCCTGATCAGATACATTTTTACTTCTATTTCTCAGGCATTTAAATATATATGAGACATTTCTAAACTAACAACAGTTTCATTCATGCAGCACATTTCAGCAAGCTCCTCAATCAATTCAAATGTTTTTTACCAATTCTTCATATAAATATTAACTACCGAGATGTACTGGTATTATCAGTCAATTTATCTACTGCAAGGAAAACCATTCCAAACATTTAGTTTTTCATTTAATTAGGGGACAATATGATTACAAGTACTATACTTTGCACATTATTTAAAATGTATGCTTAGAATATATTTCTTCCACTGCTTGAATAATAAAAGATCTCATTACCATTGTTAATAAGTTTACCTCACTTTGTTACCATGTATGCTGTGTAAAGGCTGCTTCCTAGCAGCTTCATTCTAAGTCAACTTTTTTTAATAAGGACTGTTGCAATTTATGCTACATTTGAGAGGCTTATGAATTTGGAAAAGACTATTTGGTTTCATAATGACCTTGAAGACCATTCCTTAACACAGTGCAGTTTTATTGCAAATAAAATGCACTTCTTTATTATCAGATTTAATTAGTAGTTAACAAGTAGTAAACATTTTATTGCTCTTTGAATAACAACATCCATTGTTAACTTCCTATATTCTTCTCTTCATCACTCAAATCTGAGATACAATTATATTAAACTTTAGCCTTTTAGGATATGCACAATACTTAGCTTGCATAAAGAGTACAGTAAACAATGCTCAGAAGGCAGATGAATTCTCCCATGGCTGTTTACAAGTGAAGTCACTAGCTGTTTTATTTTAAACGATGATTATAGAAACATTTAAAATTTGTATCTGCTAATACAAACCCAATTCATACCAATAATGCTACAATCAACAGCAGTGCAGATTTTTTTCATGTGTTTGCATGTACAGAAGCACAATAAATAGAAAAAGTGAGAAAGAGAGCATCTTCAGGAAGTTTCTACTTTTTATACAAACCACACTTACACACTCATTTGTAGGCCATAGTGTGCCCCCCCCCAGCGTTAGCTAAAAACAGCATTCATATTATTACAACACTAATCCCAATATAAATATTACAAAAAGTGTACATTATAAATATTAATATTAAAAATTGCTATACATATAGTAAATACAAAGTTGTAAATCACATAAAACATATACATGAAATATTAATTACTTCAATAAAAGAAATATTAATTACTTCAATTAACTACTGCAGAACTTTGATACTTCATTTGAATTTTTCTACTGACAAAATGTGTTAAGGTCAGCTTTCCTCGGTAAGATAAATTTCTTTAAATCAATCAGTAAAACTATTTTTGAAGGATTCTGAAACAACTTTGCATTTCTTTTTCAATAAACTGAAGTCCAATATTATCACTAAATACCAGAAGTCACAGCCTCCAATTCCTTTCATGAAATGTCAAATGCTAAATAATTTTCATTCTCTTAGTTAGTCATTTACTCATATGCAGAACAACTACACTCTTGCTGTGGTGAACATTTAATAGCATACTTTCCAGGAAAATTTGTTTAAAAAATATAACCTAGATTTTCATTTGGAATAAAGAAAAACTCAGCTGCCTGACATTCAACATTTTTGGTCCATAATTTAAAATGTTTAAAGACAAAGACATTTGATGACATTTAAGAAACAAAATAAATTTTAGCATTTAAATATTTTAAATAATAATTTTTCTTTCAAAACACAATTTACCATTCCGTTTACTTTAATGTTTTATGTTTGCAAATGATATTCCTGAAGTGGAAAAGAAATATTAACAAATGAAGTTGTTTTCAAGTGGACGAGGACAGAAATTCTCCATTAAAATGAGATTATTAGTCATTTACTCATATGCAGAACAACTACACTCTTGCTGTGGTGAACATTTAATAGCATACTTTCCAGGAAAAATTTGTTTAAAAAATATAACCTAGATTTTCATTTGGAATAAAGAAAAACTCAGCTGCCTGACATTCAACATTTTTGGTCCATAATTTTAAAATGTTTTAAAGACAAAGACATTTGATGACATTTAAGAAACAAAATAAATTTTAGCATTTAAATATTTTAAATAATAATTTTTCTTTCAAAACACAATTACCATTCCGTTTACTTTAATGTTTTAGTTTGCAAATGATATTCCTGAAGTGGAAAAGAAATATTAACAAATGAAGTTGTTTTCAAGTGGACGAGGACAGAAATTCTCCATTAAAATGAGATTATTTTATGTTGTTATAAGCAGCACTTTTGTAATGCAGCATGCACTTAAAAATATGAATTTCCTTTGTTTAATTATGCTTTAATATTCTTAAGAATCAAATCAATTATCATCATTAATATATGCAATAATTTCAACCTTGCTTTGTTAAATGTATTTATATGGACATTTACAAAAAATTAAAGGTGTTTTTCAAGTTTGTTAAAAGTTTGTTAATTTGAATTTTTGACTGTTTAATTTTCTTTTTCGTTCCCTTCAATTTTGAGTTATTGAGGTTTGACTACATATGAAACACTTTGGATTAAACAAAAAAAAAAAAAAAAAAAAAAAAAAAAAAAAACTTATGTGCAAGACTTTAGCTAGAAAATAATGACCCACCCCCAAAACAAAAGGAAAGCGACAGAGATGCTAGTTGTATTCATAGCATTAATCGTACTGGTATGCACTTTGACAATATTATGGTACTTTTGCAAATCCTCAAAGTTTGTAAATCAAATTTTTAATGTATTAGTTTCCCAATCTACAGTCAAAACTATGCAAAACTCAACTTCAGACTGATACTTTTGTTACCCCCCCCCAAAAAAAGCATTTTAAAGGAGACTGACACAGATCCCCTTTCAGGAGTAACATATTCCATCAAATTCAAGCTATGGCAACTGATTTAATGCTTCCAACTTCATCTTTTAGTTAGATCCTAGTCCAGTTTTTCCTTGTGAAATAAATGACCTGCAAAAGTGGCAGAAACCAAATATTACTCTATTAAAAAAATTGTATATTTGTTTCACAGAAGTTTCCAGCTGTTTAAATAAGCATTCCTTAGAAATTACAAATGAAAAAAATTAAAAGTTGTATAGTTTTGTAATGAACTCAACAAAACACTGTTACACAAAATATCTCAGGTCAGTTTAAAGCATATAAATGAATAGTTGCAGAAAATTCTATTATAAGAACATATTATTGAGATCACTGTAATTTGCAAATGAATGAAATAACACAGTACAAAGCCTGAGATACAGAAGCATCACAACTTTAGCAATTCCAGATTTTGAAAATATCTAGATCTTAGATTAACAGTTTAAGTCTAGTAAGGTGACATGCAGAAATTATAAAATTATAAATTCTGTATTAATGCTTCTTTACGAAAGAGTTATTTTGCATAAAGAAAGATTTTTTCTTAATCACTGAAGTCACATTTTAATTCTGATGAAATTAAAATCCAACTCAAAACCAAAACATTGATATTTTCTGGATTTAAAAAAATACTAGAGTTTACCTTGCCATTAACTGTTTGATGAATGAGGCATTGTCATTGCAATGCAAGACTTAAACTACATCACCTTCATTTAGCATTTCTTCTCATATTCCATTAAAAAGAAAATTTCGTTTCTTACTGGAGGATGATCTAATACCTTCAGAATCACTGCTTTCATCATAATCATAAAATCTGATACCTGGCTATAAATCATGCCAAGACATGTCTTCTCATAATCTTGAAATGTCCCACATTTGATTTTACAATAAAATATTTCTAGAACTCTTGAACAGTCTTACTGCTGCATTGGGTTTTAAAAACCTAAATTAGATCTGCAGTTCAGTGAATGTAAAATTCCAATATATATTGGCTCACTGATAAATTTACAGTTTTGGAAAAAGAGCAAAATGGGCATGTTGTGTACTAAAACTGTAATTTCGATACGATTAATGATAATAGAGAGGATAAAATACACTCTTTTGCAAAAAAAAAAAAAAAAAAAAAAAAAAATCAAAGCACCAAAAAGGATTTTTGCGATCGTGATGAAATTTGGTGTGCAAAAACATCTTGATCGAACATGCAAATGATCAAAGTTTCAAGGCAAATGAACAGGAATTGCAATCATAGCACGCATTTCTAGTGCACAATTTGCAAAGTATAAAACCAGTAACAGAGGCAGTAAAGTTCTCTTTTTTTTCTTGCTGCCATTGCAATTCCGAAAAGAAGCAGGTAAAGATGCCATTACAATGATATTGAAGACCTTACAGACAACTAAATGACTGCAAGCACGGTCGCATTGCAGGGTTGCATGAAGCTGGGTGGTCATACCGAGCAATAGGCTGCCACCTGTAGCATACAAACACTGCAGGGCAAAGATGTTGGCAGCAATGTTTGTTACAAGGAAATTGCCAGCAAAATGAAGGCTCAGGAAGGCCAAGGAGCACAAATGCGAGGCAAGATAGGATGATTGTTTGCCAGGCCTGAATTGTCCCAATGGTATCATTGTCAACTATTCAACACACTACTACAGCCACATCTATACCTCCCGTGGTATGGTCCACAATCTCACAGCAGTTACCTGAGGCGGGGTTACATTCACAGAGGCCTTTAAGGCCTTTGACCTCATAACATTCGCAGAGTCATATGGAGTGGTTTCACAGCTGGTCATCATGGCTGCCATCAGACTGGTGTTCAGCGATGAATCCCACTCACTCTTGAAGCAGATGACGACTGTGTTCGTGCCTGGAGAGGACAGGGCAAGCAATCTCAATCAGCCTTTGTTTTACAAAGGCATACAGACATAACCCTTGGTGTGACGGAATGCCAGGCCATACCGCTTGTATATCTCTGGATTGTCTCCATGCGGTTGATACTCTTCCTTGGCCAGCAAAGTCACCAGACCTCTCACCAATCGAACATGTCTGGGGCATAGTAGGCTGCCAGATTCAGGTACCACAAAATACCACAGATCTGGAGTGACAACTAATGAATGCCTGGCAGAATGTGCCGCAGAATGACATTAGGAACCTCTACCACTCCTTGCCTCGACGAATTCAAGCATCCATTGCCGCCAGAGGCTGTTCGACCAACTACTAATTTGAACACTCAATGGATGATTGTGAGCCATGGACAGGTACTATGACCTTGATTTTTAATCATTTTGGTACTTACTTTCAGTTAGCGCAACAAAAAATGCATTCATGCAAGTTTAATTTCAAAATTAGGCAACCTTATATGCCATAGGTTCCAAACACTAAAAAAGGCAAAACTTTCCAATTAATAGAATTTGTGAAATGTATAAATGTAATAATAAATAAAAACAACATAGGGGAAGTTTTCCATTGCAATGACAATGCCCCAATTAGCAATTAACTAATGGATGATGAAATCTGTAGTACAGTTTTAAATGCAGAAAATATTTGCTAGCAACAGAACATGGAGCTTATGGTGATAGAAATAATTTCTACAAACTGGTGTATCCTTGCATAGCAAATGTATTATTTCCTTTCGCAACCAGATGTGAGGTAGCTTTTTACCAACTTTGGTATAAAAACATGGGAGATGAAAACCGCAATATATAAGTGTCGCAGTACAACCTTTTGATACTATTTTAGAGATTTCTGCAGTGGTGGGTAATCAGAAAGAAGTTGATCAATTCTATCAATGCCATGCATGTATTTATTATAGTCTAGAACACAAATAGGAATTGAAGAAGTATTAGCCTCTTCAATTCTTTTTATTCAAGGTCATCACTTTAACTGAATGCTTAGTTGCAATCAATAGGACATAATGTTTATCTTTCCATTTCATCATGACTGTTTGATGCTTCCTCTATGCAGCATTGTTTTAGCTTTGTTTTCACAACTGCTTTGGCAAGAAACTTCCTGCTTGAGCACAAAGTTCCATAATCATAAATCTTATTTCAGAGGAGCTTATTTGTCACATGAATACTTGAGTAATAATTATCTGCACAAAGTACATGCCCTTTGTTTCGACAATTCTTTATCAAAGCAATACTACATTTCAATGTGACCTAATCCAGACAGGATCCACAGTACCACAATATACAAGTATATTCCATACACAACTGCTTCGCTCAACAAGGCATGTCAGGTTTTAGATCATACTTATGCCATTTGCATGGAACATATTGACAGAAAATAAAACATTCACCAAAAAAACTCATCTACTGAAAGGCGGAAGTACTTTACCTGGTGCATAATTTTTTGTGAAAATTATTCGGGAGAGCACCATAAATCTTTTGCAATTTGTGCAACCTATTTCTGTTGGCATCTTCATTAAAGTGAGAGTTTGAATTGGTCTCTTGACATTGTGTGCTGAAATTTCTTCAGCGTCATAACTTTCATCTTTGGTGCCTGTATCGGAAATACAGTTGCTACATTTAAAACTACTTTCCTTATCTGAATTTCATGTCATCAAGAAGCTCTTTGTCAGATAAATTTTGATATTTTATTGGCCTCTCAATTGAAAGAAGCTTTAATTTATTCATTTTTCTTTTCTAAAAAGTATATAGAATGTACGACAAATGTAATAAGTTGTGCTGATACAAAAACTGTGCCAAAGCTCTATAAATTGTGTAGTTAACACCCTCCTGTAAAAGTTTTCTGAAAACATAGACTGCAATGTGCTGAAAAGTTAATAAATAAGTCGTCACATACACCGCAACAACACAGAAAATCACTGTGTAGAGGGCAAGTTATGCATGCTGAATAATTTCGCACATGCCAAATAATTTCAGAAGATGAGATATTTTGTCTATCATAGTGGAAGTAATAAGCAAAAAATGTGCCAGAATTTCTTATCTACCTTAATGTCTGTGTATAATTTTAAAAATTTTTTCTTCAACGAGAAAAATATTTTTCTTCAACGAGAAAAATATTTTTCAATATAAGATGAAATGTCATTTTCAAATGCACAAGATAAAAAAAATTTACTGAAAAGGTTTGGTACACAATAATCACTGCCATTTACTGCACATTACAAATTTCAAACATCAGATTTATGAGGTAAAGCATATTAAAAACTCAGAAGGGAGACAATACTAGAATTCAAATCATTAATTTACTCACAGACCAACAAAAAGTCTCTTGGATAATTTTAGCAAAATTTAAAGAATAATTAAAGGATAAAAAGTAATTAGCTAAAGATACCTTTTCTAATGGAAGTTTCAAGCACTATAAGAAATTTTAATGCTTGCTTAATTTGTCCAGAGTATGTTAAACCGTACCAGTACAAAGAAATTAAAAAATATTCATTATAACTTGTAACATTCTTGACTTATATTTAATAATTTGTGTATCATTACCAAAAATGCTATTACATTTGCAAAACATTTAAAATGTCTATTATCATTATTACAATGAATCACACTAAATATAATCTGCGAAAAGCATAAAAGTTTTAAGGTTTCTTTTGAAGGTTTGACAAAAGCACTTTAAGAAACAAAGATCTACTGCTTAATATGAAAAGGCTATTCCTCTGCTCTTTGTTACATTGCCCTTGAAACTTGCTCTCACTTTGCATAGATGGGAGACAAAAATGTTAGTCATATGTTCTCAAAACGTTAGTTAGTTCTTCTGTTCAGAAAATACACACTTACCATATGAAAACTTTAAAAATGTAACCCAGAATGATTTAATCATTGGCCTGTAAAAGCATAAATACTTCCTTGATCATAGTCAGCACCTTCCAGACACCTAAATGAAAAGATCAAATTTGCAATGCTGTATAATGAGCTTAACAAAATTTTTTTTCAAAAAGCAATATGTTATTGAAAAAGCACTTGATGGACTGTGAGAACTGACATGCAACTGGGAGAATAGAATCTTTTATTTCATTTTTCGAAAAACAGCTTTGTTTAAAACTGCAATAAGAGATATAAATTCAAACTTAACCAATAAACAATATTTTTCCTAACAATCATTCATGAAGTTTAAACACATCAATAATATTTCCATTTAACTTCTTCACTTACAAACTATTCAATTTTCCTTGAACGTCCATTAGCAGTCAAATGCATAAAATGTCACAACATCTGACTTTCATTTCCAATAAGGCGGACTAACTGGCTGTTTGATGATCTTACCTTTGTGTTAGTAATTACGAAACAGTTTTTCATCAGAAATTTTCTAGAAAGCCAGATCTCCCATCCCTTCCTTCATCATAATTAAACAGATTAATTTTCAAACAGCAGAAAAATTTTAGTGCTTCCTATTTACTGTTTCAGAAACTATAATAAACCTAGGAATGAACCTAGGAAAGCAAGCTCTGTCTCTTTACTATAGAAAACTTTTTATATTATTTGCAAGTCATTTAAGTTTATTAAAAGATTAGGGAAAAAATTGGAATTATTATATATGATAAAAACTTTCATGTTTTTCAAAAGATGCCATATTTATGTAAACGCAACGCATTAATTTTATTTAAAATGTATTTTCCCGATTGGCAACAACAGTTTGGTTTAGAACGGTAATGTTTTGAACTGTAATGTTTGATGGTAATGTTTCTGAATAAAGCCAAGTATCTAACAATTAATGTTTGAAAAGTAATGTTTGACGGAAATGTTTTTGAATAAAGGAAGTAATTAATTGCTAACATTTCAGAAGTGGGATTACTAGAATAATTACCTAGGATTTAACAACATATCGCCTTAATGTACGTTAAGCCTAAACTGAATGCAGAAGCTCACCAAAACTGAGGTACGTGAATTTATAAACTGTTTATGTTATGTCTGATAACGGAAAGCACTTAAGTATAATTATTGTATTATTATTTGAAAATTGAAGTCTAAGATGGCTTATTTGGCAAGAGGCAAGAAATGTGACTTAAAAGAACTTGCTTTGGAACTTGATGTAAATGTCCCTTCTGATATTATTAAAATTGTAGGCTTAAGGGATATGATTTTGAATAGTAAGAACTATAACAAAGACTTTACTACACAAATGCTAGATAGAATTATAAATGATTATTTAGACAGGTAAAAGTTAGAAATTTAAAAAAAGAAAAGCAAAGAACACTTGAAATGGAAATTATAGAAAGAGGTAAGCAAAGAACTTTTGAACTTGAAAAATTGAAATTAGAAGCGGAAATCAGAAGTAGTAATGTAAATGATTCTGTTCCTTCTAATGTTAGTAGAAGTAATATTTGTGACATGAGTAAATTAATGCATAAGTATGATTTGAATGAAGGTGATATAAGTTTTTATTTAGTTTTATTTGAGAGACAGGCATAACGTAGTGGGTTAGAACAAAACTGGTTTTGGGTCTATTGTCTTATGAAATAACTCAATTAATTGCCCATGAATTAGAAGAGAAAACTAACGACTATAAGCACGTTAAACAACTGCTACTGAGAAAATTTGAGTTAAGCCCTGAACAGTTTCGGCAAAAGTTCGTTGATCATATTAAGACGTTGCGTAATATGTGGAAGGACTTCACGTTTTAAATTAAAAAATTATTTTGAAGATGGCTTGCTGGATTAATGTAACAGATTTTGACTCTTTAAAACAACTTATTATTATGGATCAATTAAAGAAAGGGTCCCCCCCGCTGCTATTCCGAGACCATTTCATTGATGATTGGTCTAAATTCATTAATCCTGAAAGTTTGGCTGAAAAACTAGATGAATATGAAAATTTTGGGCAGGGATAAAATACTTCAAGTAGAAAATAAACTTTTAGGCATAATTCTAAGCCTAAATCTGGTTCTAAATTTTATGAAGGATCCTATAATCAGTATTCAAGACAAAAATGTTAACATTTCTATGCAGACAGATGGTAATTTCAAAGTGGGTTTTAAAAACAGTTTTGATAATAAATACAATCTGAGAGATAAATTTTATAAAACAGACGAAAGGAAAAGGGAATATAATTCTGGCATCCGCAATGAAAAGAGTGAGCCAATATGCTTCAAATGTAACGATTATGGACATATAGCAATGGATTGTCCTCAACCTAAAAGAGAAATTATTTGCAGGAAATGTAATGAAAAGGGTTGTACTTTTAAAAAGTGTACGTATAAGAGTTCAGACTTGACAAATGTTAAAAATAATTTATCCGTGGACCAGAATTCAGGTGTTTCACCAGCTGTATATTTAAAGTATGCTCGCATCAATAATGGAGAAGAAATTACTGCAATCATAGATACGGGTTCTAGTTTGTGTTTATTGAAACAGTCTGCGGCTAAGAAACTGAATCTTATTATAAAACCTTATGTGGATTAATTGTTTGGCTTTGGGAAGCAGAGTAAACCAGCTGCTAGAACATTGGGAAAAGTAACTGTTGACTTAGTGATTGATAAGGTGGAAGGAAAGGACATTACAGTTCTAATTGTAGGAATGAAACACAACTATGCGACTTATTAGTTGGTCGAACATGGATTGATTTACCCCATATTGCATACACCAAGATAGGTAATACCTTGCACATACGTTATGCTAACGATTGTCCATTTTCACAGTTGCAAAGTGATAGCAACACTCCGCAAATTAAACTGAAGGCTTCCTAAGAAACTCAAATCGAAAGTAATAGTTAATTTCATGAAAGTTCAAACTGATGAACTAAATAATGGTAATAATGAAAAAAGTGGATCGGAAGATGAGTTGGACTCATTATTGGAAGTAATACAGGGAGAAACAGTGATACCAGTCACTAACTACAGCGATCGAGAATTAATTTTGAAAGAGAATCAATGTATCGGTAGAGCGGAAGTAGCAGAAATAGTTGAACCAAGTTCAGATCAAAAAACTAAAAATTCAAATCAAAAGGAAATAATGATAATAAATTAAATCAAGAAGTTTAAAAGACCGATTACTTTAGAACAGGGTTGCCACTCAAACAGGAGAATGAAATTCCCTGACTTTTCCAGGTTTTCCAGGTATGTTTCGAGAGAAAATTCCAGTCTATCCGCGTAATGTATGTTTGGCTGTTTAAGAGGTAATTAAATTATGGTATTACTTCTACTGTGTAGCAAATTCACTTAATTATTCAATAATCCCAGAAGACATTTATTCTTAATTATTCTTCGTACACTTTGTTTGATAACTTGTTTACTTTCCACTTAAGAAACTTAATAATTTAAGATATGTACATTGGATAACAATTAGTACATTATTTAATTATACTCATGATATCACCAGCTCAACATGAGGCTAATCCGGTTCTTCTTATAAATCACAATGCAAGCTAAATTGGTTAGATTTTGGTAAATTTAATTTGTGTGATGGTGTCTTCTTAAAAGGCACCTTAACACTTAAAAACACAAATATAATTATAATATGATTGTTTTCTCCCCTGAAGATTGAGATTAGATCTGCCCAATCTGGAATAAATAAGCTTTTTTGCAGACATTCTGCAGCTAAAGAAAGAAAGAAATCTATTTAATGATATTTTTTACTAAGGTATTTTATATTTATTTCGCAGCATCCACAAGGAAAAATATGTGCTTTATTTCGTGATGTCATCGTACTGCTAGAATCATTTCAGAATTATGCCAGAAAATTTCCTGAACTTTGGAAATATTATTTACTAATGATAATAAATTCAGAGAAAGAAGCACATTAATGAGTTAATAACATAAAAATATTACTTAAATTGAATTAGAATAATCAACGATATTTTAGCGAATTAGTTATATTACATGGATACCTAGATGACTGATTATTATTTTTTTATTTTACAGCAAAATGACAAGGTATTTATTAAAAAGAAAAGAAAAAAAAAGGTTTAAAAAGATTTTGCGGTCAAATCTTAGTATACGTTATTACGGCCTTTGCACGATTTTGAAAATTGTTGCCAAGGACAAAATGAGCCGTTTACTGCTCATCATCATGTCGCCAAATCACATTGTACAATACATGGAGATTATTCTAACCAAAGAATGTCTATGTAAACTAGAAAAGGTTTCATACACGTAAATGCTAGATTACGGCGCTAGAATGTGGAGGAAAAATTTGCCAAGGGATTTGGCAACGTAACCTGGCGGGCAGAATTTCCATCTCTGCGATGTGTACAGGAAATTGAGAAACATGTGTTAAGAAAAAACATTCTTTGACAAAAAAGAAAACTACGAAAATGCGTTTTTAAATTACTGCGAAAAATTCAAGAAGAAACGTTTTATCAAAGAACGTTTTTTCTTGGATTTTTCGGAAAAATTTTAAAAACGGATTTTCAAAAAATATTTTTTTTTCCTTTAGAGTTTAAAGAAATTTTAAACGATATTCATTTTATGAACTCTTGATAACGTGACCTTCGAACTTCGACACCGGTTTCGAGCTTCCGACGTCAGCGCAAAACTCGCCATTTTTGGCGGGATCGTTGTATGAAATTCCCTGACTTTTCCAGATTTTGACAAAAACACTTAAAGTCTCTGACTTTTCCCTGAATTTTTTGGTAAATTTCCGAATTCCCTGACTTTTTCCGGTTTTCCAGGTAGCATGGCAACCCTGTTAGAAGAAATTAAAGTTAATAACAATATTATGCCAGAGAGAAAACAGGAAGTTTTATATTTGATACATGAGTATCGAGATTGTTTTGCATTAAATATGGAGGAATTAGGGTGTACAAATTTAACAAAAATGGATATTGAAGAAATTGAAGGAAGTAAGTCTATTTGAGTGAAGTCATATAAAACCAATGCCAAAGAGCATGCTTCTATAAAGAAGATAATAAATAAAAGGAAGAAATATGGAATTGTTACTG